AGGCCCTTGTGCTTGCCAGGGAAGCGCTTATTCCACTGAGCCATCTCCCCGGAACCCTGAGATTGGACTCGTAATGATCCTTCTGTTTTCAGCCTCCCAAACCCTGGGACTACAGGCATGCACCACTATGCCTAGTCTGAGTCACCAGCTCTGCATGCCCCTGGGACAAGGCTGGCACAGCACTCTGGGGATTGAACCCCGGCTGCTGCGCTCTGCCTAAGCAGGTGCTTTAGTCTGCTGAGCTATCTGGCCAACCCTCTGTTCTTCATCAGTATTTTTTCATGTGCGAGGACCCAGAATCTTAAAAACTTGTAGATCAATAAGATTTTTATGAGTATGTCCATCATGGGGAAAAAGGAGTGCAAGTTACTTGTCTAAGATCACAGAACTTAGGAAGAGTCTTGCTAGGTATTATCGGTGAGAGCTGATGGCAGCTCAAACGGCGTCATCCAGTTAGTAAACTATTAAACTATTAACCTAAACTCAGTGTTTGCTTTGGTACCATGTACACTAACCTAAACTTAATAAGGTAATAAAAAAGATTTTCCCACTGGGCAGCAAGTTGAGGAACTAACAAGGAAAGGCAAGGCACGATCTTCAGCACTCTAGGGATGGACAGAGAAAAGTTTCTAGAAATTTCCAGAAAGTTCTGGCACTCAGGAGCTGCAGCTCAGAAAAGTTGCCCAACAAGAACCACGGCTGATGAGAAAGGAGGATGAGTGGCAGAGGGTTGACTGGAGCCTCTTCTCCCTTGCCCTCTAATTTCTGACATTTCCCAGGAGTCCAGTCTGCAGAGGATAAGGGAGCTGGTTGGAGAACAGTGTCTTTAGTGTCCCTGGCCTAGACCCATATTAGGTACTCAAGGACAGGAAGAGTGGGTGGGCCTGGGGTGTAACGGAAGAAAGTAAAAGCCCGTGTGCAGGGCACACCTCAACAGTCGCACTTCTGACCCGCTCGCTTGGCCCATCTGAGCCACGCGGAATCCTAGCAACCGATCTGTTGCCATGGAGACCGCCGGGTAGCCGCCGGACCGCGAAGACCCTGCGAGGCGGGCCGGAGCAAGTGCGCACGCGCGCTGCGACTCCATCCCGGTCTCGGCGCAGCTGCCGGGAGAGAAAGAGGTCGGGTTTCGCGTGACCCTCCGCTCAGGAGCGGGGCTGCTCGTGCTTTTTGGCTCTTTCTGGCTCGAGCCGTCGCGCCCCACCGGGAGCCACCGCGGCAGCTTCTGGTTGGCGCCAGATCCCGGGGAGTGCGCGCGCTCGGGCGCCCCTGCAGGGGACGTCGCCCCCGGCTCCTGAGATCTCCGGGTGGCCTGTGTGGGAGCCGCAGCAGCAGCCCACAGCCACCTTCTGCACCCTTCGCTGCCTTGGGGCGGAGCAGCTGCATGTTGGAAGCCGCAGCGATGAACCTCCTGGAGGACTGGTGTCGGGGGATGGAGGTGGACATCCGCAGGTCCTTGTTGGTCACGGGCATTCCCGAGGACTGTGGCCAAGCAGAGCTCGAGGAGACCTTGAGTGGGGTCCTCGCCCCCCTGGGCCCGTACCGCGTGCTCAACAAGATATTTTTGAGGGAGGAGAATGTTAAAGCAGCCCTCATCGAGGTGGGCGAGGGCGTGAACCTGAGCGCTGTACCCCGAGAGTTTGCCGGGAGGGGTGGTGTCTGGAAGGTAGCCCGTAGGGACCCCACGCAGGATGCTGAGTTTCTGAAAAACCTGAATGAATTCCTGGATGCCGAGGGGCGCACCTGGGAAGATGTGGTCCGCCTCCTACAACTGAACCGCTCCCCACCACCCCAGAGTGTCCATCAGGCCTCGGAGACCTGGGCGGAAGCCTTGGGGGTGCTCCTGGGAGCTGTGGTGCAGGTCGTCTTGTGCATGGATGCTGAGATCCGCAGTCGGCAGGACGCTCGGGCTCAGGAGGCTGCTGAGGGCGAGCAGGGGGCGGCCTGGGCTTCGGCCGTAGGGAGGAAGGTCAAGAAGGAGCCAGGGCTTGCCACGGAAGTGGGCTTGGCTTTGAAGATGGAGAATTCCCCCCCCCGCTGGAAGGGCGTGGAAGACCAGGGCGACCTTCCCAAGCCCATAGTTCGTAGGGCTGGAGCTAAGGCTCGCTCCAGGAGAAAGAAGCAGAAGAAAAGCTCCAAGCAGGAACCAGTGCTCTGGAAAAGACGGAAAGGCAGCCACTGCAGCAGCTTGGCCTACTCGGAGGGGCCTGAAGCCCGTGAGACTCAGAGTATGGAGATCCCAGAGTCTGGGAAGAGCCACAGAAAAGCCCGTGTGAAGCAGGAAGGGCCAGCGTCAAAGCAGCCCATGGGGACAAGTACCTGGAAGGTTCTCAGAGAGCCACCTCAGGATGCCCTGGCGGGAGCTAAGAGCCCCACAGGCTTCTCAGAGTCGGACCAGGATGGCGGTCAGGAGAGGCTGATGAAGAAGGCCATGTCCTGGGCTTCTGGGAAGAGCCCCATCGTGGTGAGGAAGAAGAAGGTGACTTTGGGCCCTGTCTCGTATGCCCTTGTCGAGTCTGAAGATGCTAAGAAGAAGCTGGTGGTTCCAAAGAAAGGATTAAGACCCAGAAGGGCTGCATTGGCTCAGGAGGCCCTGTGTGACCGGCACCCTGCCACAGCGCCTGCCTCAACATCGAGGTGTCCGAAGGTTAAGGCTGCAGGCTGTCCTCGTGCCTCCAACGGTGAGAGCGAGGGCAGAAGCGACTGGGGTCGGGTGGGAGGCACAAGAGTGCGGGTGGGTGTAGAGGAGCCCTTGGGTAGGAGGTCGGGGTGACAAGGACGTTCCTATGCTGGAGGGAATGGCTGGCCCCCCAGGTGAGGCCTAGAGGTGAGCCCTGGCCTCCATCCTAGGGGCTCCTGATGGCCACCTCCTGACAGCCAACCCAGTCTTTTATGGATCGTTGCCACGGTGGTTGGTGGTTGCTCTGCTGCTTCTGCCTCCTTTAGAAAGGAATGAGTTTGGGTTATAACGTGTGCCAGGGTCGGCTGCTTCAGAGGAGGAGGTGTCTGAGGGCCTGGGTGGTGGATGAAATGTCTGGCGCCTCAGGAGGTCCTAGGGAGGAACGCTTTCTCAATGCCACCCTTTCCTGCTTTCCCCCAGGGCTGTTGTGATGTACCCAGATTCCAGGAGGCTTTGATCCCCAGGACCACCCATGCCTGGGTGTTGAAGGAAGGCCAAGGAAGACTAAGGAAGAAGTCCCAAGCTGGGAACAGAGTTTTCGCTTGTTGTCAAGTGGGACAAGAGTGTTGACTCTTTGAGGGACCCAGTGTGTAGAGCTGTGGCTCAGAGGTAAACAGTAGATGTGGTGTGTGAGGGGACAAGAGGAGAGGGAGGTGTCTTTTTGCCCTTTTAAAAAATCTCCTCCTCAACTCACTCTCAAAGGCTAGAGAGCTGGTAAGTGGCCTGGGAAAATTCTAGAACATTCCCTAGTGTGTGGGGTCAGGGTCCTTCTCCAGCCTCCCTCCCCCACTTCCTACTGTCACCAGACCATTAGGGCCTGGCATTTTGAAGAGCAGGGCAGCCACTTTCTTCCAGCCTCCTTGTACCTCCCCAGTGGGTGAGTGAAGCCCAGATCTTCTCTGCAGGTGTGGTGTACTTGTCCCTGTGGTCCTGACTTCTGTCCTCCATTGTCTTAGAACCCAAAGAGGGCTGGAGAGATGGCTCAGTGGTCTAAAGCACCTACTTAGAACAAGCTTAGCAAAAGCATCAGGGACCGCGGTTCAATCCCC